TACATTCCACCGAATTCAAAAACACATTCTTCTATAAAATCCACTCGGAAACATTGCCGGTAAACACATGGTTGAAAAGAAAGGGTATTTCCATTCCGTCTGTTAACTGCCGTCTGCGTAATGTGCCGGAAACGATTGAACATTGCTTTGTTAGCTGCAAAGATGCCATACAGTTTTGGGATGTCCTTCATCGAGCACTAAAAAAACGTTTCGTCAATATTTCTCACACGATACGGTATCTTCTACCAGCAGTGCTTGATGATGTTTCATATGACATGTTTTTCCTCATGGGTATGCACAGCTTGTGGAAGACACGAATGCAAGACCGCAATGCAGAGCTCACCACCTCATCAAGCACACACTTCATTCAAATGGCTATCCACCTCAAAAACATTTACGACGAGCTAGACTTTAGACCAGACTGGTACTCCATCTTAGAGAACTGTTTGACCTCACCCCTTTTCTTCACGTGCTGTATAACTGGACGTGAAGAACTCTCCATGTGATGAACTCGCGCTGTGTTAGCCATTGAGTGTTTATGAGTAACGCCTAAGCGCTTATTTTCGCCATTTGAATGTACTTTTGTTCACTTGATTTTTCTTTTTTGTGCAAATACTTTAATAAATACCATTTTTTTACTAAAAAAAGTCGGTATGTCGCAGTGGTTAGCGTGCTCAGTTGGAAATTTGTAGGTGGCAGGTTCGATTCCGCGCTGTCGCATCTCTTTTTTACGGGTGTTTTCTACATCGTTTTTTATACAATTATTTTTATTATTTCTTTAGTGGCAGGTCGTCACGGTGGCTCTGACGCTGCTTTGCGCTCTAGCAATACCAGCTGGAGCGTGCGATCCACCATCCGCTCCACCGTCCGCTCCACCGCACGCCACCAGACACCATGTGCTACGAAGATTTCCAGCACCATAATTCACCAAATTGGCGAATGGTGGAATCCACCATTCCTATGGTGGACGTTTTTTCTATAGAGATCCTTTGGAGTTTGATATTTGATAACACTGTCGTGTTATATAGCCACAGCTGTGGCCACCTCTTCAACATGGGTAGAATTGGTTGCGCGGAAGGACAGGCCATCCACCTGCCTGTCTTGTTGGACCAGGCGGCTGCATACCAACCCTCTCGGTAAGGGCTTGCGATGTCCGTGTAAACTACGTTTCGTTTAGAGCCGAATTGGCGCCGGAAAGCAAGAACCCGTGCCTCTCGACAGCCAGCGTGCGACTCACGTGACATGTTGATGGGTAGGGGTGTAACATGAATCGCGTATTTCCAGTGTTCGGGCACTCGTACCCGCTCCTCTCTGTGGAATTCATGCCGATTGTGTAGGCGATCTAGGAGTCGTCTGCCTAACGGGGTCTGCGTCGGGCGCGTCTATTGGTTTGCTAGGTGAGCCTCCCGGAGCTCCTCATAGGTGTTTGTCACTCCAAAAACAAGAAGTTTTCCATTAGAAGTAGTAATCGGTAGGTCTAGGGCTGTCTTGGCAATTTCGCGCAGCCCCGCCGCGGTGGTATAGTGGCTAAGGTACACGGCTCCTGACCCGCAGGTCACGGGATCAAATTCTGGTTGTGGCGGCTGTATTTACGATAGAGGCGGAAATGTTGTAGGCCCGTGTGCTCAGATTTGGGTACACGTAAAGAACCCCAGATGGTCGAAATTTCTGCAGCTCTCCACTACAGCGTCTCTCATAATCATATGGTGGTTTTGGGACGTTAAACCCTACATATCAATCAATCAATCAATCAATCAATCAACAATTTTGCGAAGGGTGACCTCCAAGGAATCTTCATCGTGCTTCCGTCAGTGCAGGTGCGGAGTCGCATACAAAAGTGCGACTAGTGACAAAGCATGTGTGAGACGAAGCGCATCCTTGCTTCTGAGACCTCCCCGCTTCTCGGAGCCTCTGCGGACCATACGGCCCACCAGTTCTCCAACCTTACGCAGCTTCTGAAGTGTTGTCTCGACCCTGCGGTGTTTGTGAATGTGGAGTGCAAGAACATGGATCTCCTGTGCCTCATTAAAAGGTCCACTATTCAGGAAAAGTTTATGAACGAAGTGTACTGCACCGATGGCCGAAGGTGCACGAATTCATAATCCTGTGGGGAACACTGGAGGCCCCAGTATGCCGCATATTCGTCCACTATATGGGCTTCGATTTGTAGGCTGTCCTACACGCTGCCCAGGCATCCCTCTGTGGCCCACAGAGTGATGTCGTCGGCATATAGCGCATGCTTTACCCCGTCGACAGTAGCCAAGCGGGACGGGAGCTGCGCCTTAGCTAACTTGAGCAGTAGAGGTGACAACAGAGCGCCTTGTCGTGTGCCTCGCGTGCCCAGGAAAAAGGGGCCATATTCCTGATCTTGTATGCGAGTGTTGGCAGATCTGACAGTAAGAAAGTTTCGGATGTAGTTGAAGGTGTGCTTGCTGCAGTCGGTGGCACTTAGGTGGGTTAAAATGACTTCGTGCTTCACGTTATCGAAGGCTCACTTAAGGTCAAGCCCTAGAAGGATGTCATTGTGGGGGTGTTCAACGGGATTAGGTACTTCGTGGTGTAGTCGTAGAAATATGTCCTGCGAAGAGTTCTTTGGCCTAAAGCCATACATAGAATCGGCGAAATTGTGACGCGCTTACAAGACGGGGGAGACACGATCCCTGACCATTGTTTCAATTAGCTTCGTCGCACAAGAAGTGCGAGAAATGGGTCTGAGACTCTCAGTGTTGATTGGTTTTTCTGGCTTTGGAATAACGGTTACTAGAGACGTTTTCCAGTCTGGTGAGAGGGGCGTTTTTCTGAACGAGATCGTAATAATATAGTCGAGAAGCGAATGGTGTGCTGCATTGGGTAGATTTGCGAGGATTTTAACGGTAATTTTGTCTCGCCCGCAAGGCGTACCTCGCCTCATTTTGGCTAGAGCGGCACGAAGATCGTGTAACTGGAAAGAAGCATCCAGAGCCAAGTTTTCTCCGCTTGCATAGCGATGCGCGGAGCCTCGCGCGTCCTGCCGAGTGTAAAAGACTGGTCTTGTAGTGAGAGAGCTAGCTGTGTTGTGGAGCCGTGGAAATTGTGAAAGGCTCAGTGCAGTTGTTTTTGTGTTTCGCCTCACGTTTGAGTGTGATCAATGAGACCGCGGAAGAGTTTCTATGTATTGCGACTGGACATTTGCCTGCTGAGTGTTACAGTGATCTACCTAATTTGAGTCAGCGAACTGGGCAGCGTAATCGGCCGCCTTCTGGGTCAGATCCAGTAACCGCATGCAGAGTTCGCGGTTGTGTCTTTTTCCGCGCCATCTCTTTGCGATGCTGCGACGGGCCTCCCAGAGATGGAGGAGATATTTATCTATATCCGAATGACTATCAGTGAGTTATATTTGGTCTTGTGTTTCTTAGTGTTTCGAGCACAGATTGAGCCCACTGGGAAAAACCTATCTCCTGGATGGGAGAGTGAATAAGGACTACTGGAAGATTTCCCAGTTTGGTAGGTGAGCTTGTGCGATGGGGCGTTGTAGGGGTCGTGCAGAAATTGTGTTTAGAATGCAGTGGTCACTATCAAGGATTTCCTCGGTATTGAACTGATGTTTTTCGTGAGTTCTGGGTCGGGGCAGGTGTCTCGGCTGACAGAGTTACCTACACGAGTTGGTTGCGCGGGGTCAGTTTGAAGATTCATGCCCCGTGTGGAAGCTAGCTCCGCAAGTTTCCTTTCACGCACCTCTTCCGTGTGATAGCCCCAAAGCCTGCTAGGGGCGTTCAAGTCACCCACTATTAAAAGAGGGTCATGGCCGGCGAGCTTCAGTGCCCCACTGAAGGTTTCAGCGAATGTGATGTTTTTGAGTATAGGTTTTCAATAAATATTGAGGATGTGCACTGGGGCGGCAGGGGGGTCGTTTCAGTGCAGAAAAGAACCGTGACCATGGTGTACGAGTATGGCATTGACATTTCGACGTCAACCTCTTGCGTAGTTAAGGATTTTTGTACAAGAAGGCAGGTGAATGGATCCCGGTGAAAAGTGTTAGCACCTGAGAGGCGCACGGCATTGACGGGCTTTTGACGTCCATTCAGCCACTCCTGCGTCCGTCCATGTGTCCATCCGTCCATGCAGCCATCCGTGCGTCCGTGTGTCCGTTCTTCCACCTATTCAACACTTTAAGTATTACCATCTCGCACCTTTACATCATACATTCCTGACATATAAGCACCGCCATTCAGCGGAAATTCCAAGGACTGAATGGGAGGAGGCACAGGAAGACTTTCTTACGGCTTGCGCTTCGTGTCTACTTCCAACCTTTAACCACCTCGAGTTCATGGTATATACTAGTTCACTGTATTCGTGGCACTGCGGCCCAATGCTCGCTAAACCTTTCTAAAACTAAGGAGGTTACGCCAGCGAGTATAACGTAGCAACGCTTTCTTGTCAGATAGTGGTCAATGTATATGCCAATGGCTGCTGAGGGGGAATGAGAGAAAGAAGAATTCGGCTTTTAGTAAACGCGCACGCTGCGAATTTTTTATTCTTCAACAACGCACAGAAGAAATCTCCCGCCGGCGCCACCTTGGAGGTCAAAATGTAAGACTGGTTACACACTACAACTACGACTACGAGGCACGAACGGTTGCCGCTATAACGAGCTTGGCCCTTAAAATCCCTAGCTTGGAAAACGAGGGAACCCTTGTTAGGTATCTTGGATGACGTCTGCTGTGGCGGTGTCTTAGGCGGACGTGGTGCTTGTTGACTGGTCCCTCCAGCAGGAGGGTTCTTCGTGGCTTGGTTGGTAGCTCCCACCGGACGTCCCTTCTGGCACGACGCCAGATGTCTTTGGCATTGAACGCTGCTTCGACGAGCCGCAGCTGCCATGATGCCCACTCGGCTGCTGCAGGCAGCGAAACCTTGCTTTGCAGGCCTGGGATCCGGTAGGTGCCTTCGTCGCACACCAGGCACGATGGCTTGCATTCGTGCGGGGCCATTTCCTCCTCAGAAGCACCCACAACTTGACCACAATGACCGCAGCGGGTGAAGACACAGCTCCACCCGCTGGCCCACCGTCCCACAGTGGTAGCAGGTTGGAATGGTGCGTTTGTATTCGCGTACTGGTATCAAAACGCTTTTGTAGAGCACGAAACGTGGCACGTGGCGGCCCTCGAAAGTAAAAAGGGCCACCGAAGTCTTGCCAAGCTTTCTGATGAAAGCGATGCATCCACCACGCCAATGGATCTTTGCTTTCAAGGAGGTGGAGGCCTTCTGCTCGTGCACCGTAATGATGCCATGGCACACTTCACCACTGATCCTGGCCTGACCGATCATTGCTAGGGGACCCTGTGGTGTTTCGAGCGAGAATTGTCGTGAGGAAAGGTTCGCAGAGTTGATGCCTTTGGTTGGGAAACAATGATATTTTGCTCCCATATGGGCCACACACTGATGAAGTCACTCGAGGTTGCGTTCACGTATGAGGTGAGCTTGGCGCCAAGTTCACGTGGTTGAAAAGTAGCTTTCGGATCCACCGTGACACGAAGCTTCAGCACGATGGTGAAGTCTTCTGCAGCAATGGTTGGCATAGCGGTAGGGCGCCACAATACACGGGGTGTCTATTTGTCGAGTGGTATGTTCGCGGACGTGACCTTATAAATAGCCGAGCCCTAAGAAGCTCTAGATTGCTGGTGATGCTTGCGGAGGGCCACACTCTTAAAAAAATGGTGTGACGTTCTCTCCATTTAGGGAGAAACGGCGATGTCCCCAATGTTCGTCTTCAAATAGAGAAACGTTGCTCCCTCATCCACGGAGAAACATGTTCCTCCTTATGAAAATCAACATGGCTGCTCCCCGGCGAAGCGAGTAGGCTTAGCAAATGCAATGATTCTCGACTGATAAGGAGTACACGGCACTGAAAGTTACAAAAAACGGTCCTGCTGAGCTTGATATTGCACAAAATGATTATAAAAACAAGCACACGAACCTGTGGCGGTGAACACATCGCGAAAGAGAACGCGGAGCAAGTACGTTTCGTTCGGTTAGCGAAGCCACGTTCACTCCGATAGACACGGATATATACTGCAGAGCCCTCACCTGATGAGTGCATTCTATAGGCTTGCTGTATTTATTTCTCGCAGATTCACATAGTGTAGCGACGTTATCCATGCGTTCACGGGCACGCAGGTCACGAGATGTGCCTCCAAACCGTAGACTCGATCGCAGCGAAACCATTCCGACTCAGTAATGCAGCTTTGATAGACAGATGTTCAACGTTATATAAGTAGCTGGAGGTGTGAAAGCGTCATAGCCGTGAAGTAGGTGGTAGCTAGCGCCATCTGGAGGGACTAAACAAAACTAAAAAAAGTTGCCTGCCGCGACGTACGTTGTTATACCCACTTTCGCGGCTCCCTTGCGGATTTTTTACGCCTCAGCCCATTCAGGATTACTTACGTCACAGCCCATTAAGTATTACTCTCACTGACACCGGAAGCCTAAATATGTGCTGGTGCAATGCATATAACTACACATGCACACATGGACACATACTGCACATATAGTACGCAACAAGTATACGCTAACATATACGCTAACAAGTACTCAATAAGAGCACAATCAACCACTCACAGCAACGACCCACGCTACGACGTGTTTTCTCACACCCTACTATGAAAGCGCACCAGCTTATATAGCGATGAATTTCGACTGACCATAGTGGCACAGGTTACAAGTAGGTTTTCTTACACTATTTTACGTTTTGTATCAATACCACAACATGCGCACACGTAAATATATTGTATCTGATGCTTAGACAAACGCGAGTTTATCAATGGTTGCACAATAATGAACGGAATAATTACTAAAGCTTACCAAGTTTTCACGAAGGCGGATACCCCCAAGCCTTGCATAGAATGCCCACGGCATTCCGCACGCTGCGCCATCTGTCGACCACTGCCACAGTTACTTTTTTTCTTGAAGCCTTGGAGAATATAAACACTTGCCGCGCGTTAGCCATTTCGGAGGTTACGTTTTTTTTTCTTCTTGTTACTTGGGGAGGGCGCAGCATGCAGACCAAACTTTGTCTCCGTCATGATAGGTGTTCTGTGGTCACGTCGACCTCGTTTAGTTGCTTCGTCTTAACGTTTGCTTATATTCTTTTTACGGGCGTACCACAAGTGTGACCGTTAGCCATGGATACATTACAAAACTAGCCCTTCAATGACAAGGTTTTTGATGCGGTAACGTCCGTCCTAGCAGTGTATACGTACGTTACCACGCGGGTCTTGCGAGAGAAATAAGCGATGACCTCGCATCCGACGGTATTTTTTCGTGGGCTATAACAGTGGCTGTTGGCGTCGCAGCAGCTCTAATACTTGAGTGGAGGAAATATCGCTGCAGTGTGCAAGTTTACTATAACTTTATAGAATGTTGTGTCTGCATACCTTTCTGCTTCAGATGCCTCTCGCGATTCGCCTCGCGAGTCAACTGGCAATCATAGTGCGTGCCACAATTTTGTTGTTAGCGCTGTGGCTGTGGTGGTTATTACTCTGGATTCGGAATACTCTTTTCACAAAGGTGAGTGAGCGTTAGTACTTACTTGCTGTGCACAGCTGTTACTAGAAGTGTATTTTGTGTTGAGTTTCTCACGACAAAGAAGAATCATGAACGAGAAAGGCATACTGCACGCGTGCATAATTCCTTCCTACTTCCCAGTGCTGGCATGGGCAATTCAAAACGAATGCGATTCAGAATTTGGTTTAACCTACAGAAGTCATTGGTTCACTTTTCACAAAAGTTTAGTTATGATGATGTTTAAAAAGTCTCTGATGATTGTAACCTAGCCTGGCGAATAAACACTCGGTAAAACTTCCCAGCCTGTTTCCCTTTGTGCTTTCACCTGCCGTGGTAGCGTAGCCTTATTGGGTGTCGTGTGACTAAGCTGGCGGACGCAGGTTCGACTTCCGACCACGGCGGCCGTATTCGAATGGGGGTAAACTGCAAAGAACATCCATATGGCGGTAGTGGCACGTATAACTCTATCAATTGTATATGATCGTACTTTCACGCATGGACTGTAGAGTGGTATCAGGTTTCCTAAAATGATGAAAGATTAAGTGTGATGCTTTTTTGCGCGCCTCGTTGAATTCATGATTGCTGTTGGTGCCGTGCGAAACTAAAAATGCGTGGGCTTACCAAGTATGTCGACACCGAAAAAAATCATTATTTTTTTACACTCTTAGGTAATCGATAAAGCAAGACTGCTTGGGAAGCAGAGCTCCTTGTATTCGTAACCGATTGGTAGTATGAAACAACATGAGACACACATGGAAGTGTGCGGAGCATCGTGCGAGTGCCTGACGATGAAAAAAGAGAGAGGCTTTTACTCTACACTAATAAAACAAAAGAAAACGTCACTCCTGCATTGCTTACAACAATCTTAGGTAAAAGCAATCGCTCGCGACTGGCCGCGGCCGGCTATAGGCTTGGCGTGCGCATACGCGCGAGCAAGACCCCCGTGATTGAGGAGAAACTTGAACGCTGAAGGAGGAACGTTGCTCCTTTGGTCCTTGCCGCGAGAGGGCGTAACGGGTAAAGCGCCCGAAAGGGAGGAAGTCGCTGCGCCGAAGGAGGAACGGAAGCCCGTTTCTCCATTCTCGCTCCCTTTTTTTTAGAGTGCACCACGGTGAATAGTCCCTAATCCACGATATCCGTTGGTGGAACGGAGTTTTCGGGCACTGGGGTAGAAATCTCTTTCCAAGCCAGCGTCGTGGGATTATATTCAAACAGAGCGGGGGCAGTCATCTGTGGTTGCGGCCGCGGAGAAGTTCCGATGCAGTCAGCGTTCGGTACAACGCTCAGTCGGGCGAGCGCAGCTCCCACGAGGTCAGGTCAACAAGTGGACATAAAATGCCCCCAATTTGGCCCACCTGGATGAGAGAGGTGTCTCCTGGTGCAGACAATGTTACGAAGAAGATAGGGTCAAACTTGATGAAGTGCGACACAGGGTTCCACCGGTCCTTACAAAAAAAAACAACCGTCCGCTCTCGTCACGGGCTCGTAGCGTTCCCCCGGTGCCTATCGGCGGAGTTTCTCCAGTAACTATTCGGCTTCGGCTGCGACGTCTGTGCCAGCCTGCGGTTGCGAAACGCATTGACCCGCTTATTACGCTAGCTCCTCTCTGACCATGATCATGCGAGGCACAATGTGCGGCATGAGAAATAATTACTGTGGTAAGCCTAAGACAGAAATCTGTCCCACTCCATTAGAAAGCACGAACATGCAACCAATGATTGCGAAAGGCTTAAGCAGTAGCGTCGGCTTGGACGCACTGCTAAACACTGGGGCCGAGCGCTTCAGCTTTTGCTGCTTAACCATTTGTACTGGAGTGCTTGGGCGGCAATAATATTTTCCTGGAGCCTAAGTGGCAGCCTGTGCGCCCTTCCTCTGTCGCATCAGTACAGATTTTGCTGGACCACTGAATGTTTCACAGGGTGAAGAACAGCAAAGTGGAAAAGTTCTACATTGAGCTATTTATGTCTGAAGTAACAAGACCTCTACAATTGGAGTTATTGAGGAGGATGTCATCCCAGGCGTTTGTTCAAGCAATTTGAAACTTCGCAGCATAGAAGATGATGGTGTACACCGATTTATAGTCATAGTGATAATGCAGTCAAGAAACCCGAAAAAGAGATAAACAAAATATTAAAGACGAACGGGTGGAAAACTATACCAGCAGCCTGCAAGTAAAATGAAAGTTCACTGCGTAGCTAGCTTCATTATGGAGATGATTTTATGAAAGGCTCATCAGTAGCTTCAAGACATCAACGGAAAAGTCTATATGAGGTCGACTTTTTGATGAAGAGCTACAGACTAAGGTTGCTGAAGCAGAAGGAGTCATGCAAAAGCAGCCGGAGGATTCACAACTTCTTTCCCGCTTACCTTGGCATTGAGTTCGTCCACCAATACTGTGTACTGTATTTTTTTTCTTGTTCCTTGCCGACGCACATCTCTGTAGAGGCTTTTATCTAAATAGTCATGATGTAAAACATGTCATACAAAGCACAAAATGCCACTAGACAAAGTCTGCGTGTCTGGGCCCCACTT